AGCAGGGAGTCTGCTTCTCCCTCTGACCCTCCTCCCTCTCATACTCTCTGTCTCTCATTGTCTCTCTCGCAAATAAATAAAATCTTAAAAAAAAATAAAATAAATAAATAAATAAATAAAAGTTCTATCAACTCAGCTTAACTTAAATGAGGATTATCTGTGAGTTTCTTATCTTTAAGGTGAACAGACTAGTTTTATACATCTTGCACATCATATTCACTTGAAAAACTGAAAGTTTTCTATTAGTAAAATCTAAATTCATGGTTTAGTTTTCTGTCAGATATGAAATAAAGTTTTAAATAAACCAGCTAAATCATGAATAAAGCAATGTTCTGGCATTCTTCATCTTATTTTAAATATAGTGGCAATAAAAGTCTACATAATGTTTTAGGAAATGACTTCCCAAGAAAGGAGACATGTATAACAAGTGCACCTTACAAACTTTAGAAGACTTCATTTCAATATTCCAAGTATTCAAAGGCCCAAATCCTGACTCCATAAAATCCTTAGGCTCATGATTTAAAGTGAGCTGCAAATTATTAAAATAAAAGCACTTCGAAGCACAAACCACAAGAATACTCTCTTATGAGTAGAAATCAATAATATGTAATCTTGTTTTGAGTTCAAGATTTAATACTTTTCAACCTTTATAAACCTGTTACAAATCATCTAATGAAGAATTCTAAGACTGTACTTATAAATAATGAAGTACTAGTGCTTTCTGAGCATTAAAGCACATCTTAAGTTCAATGCCTTGGTCCAAAGCTCTGATGATTTCTTCTCTGAATTATTAAAATTGCCTCTTAACTGCGCTTCTTGCCTTCAGTCTCAACCGTTTCCAGTTTAACCTCCTAATGCTACCACAGGGACTTTTAAAAAACAAACTTCATCATGACACTCTCATGCAGAAAATTCTTTAGTAGAGCCTCGCATCTTCTGTAACAAAAAATCAAAGTCCATTAGCAATGCATGCATGGCATTTCATGATCTGGGTTCTGATTCTCCAGACTCAATTCACCCACGCCCACCCTCTTACTGCCTACCTCCATCCACAAACTGCAAACACTTCCCTCCCTGAAGATTTTTAATTCTCTAGATACTCTTTCTCATCATCAACCACCACCCATTTCTCCCCTTCCACCTCATAGTATCTCTATAAATGGAGTTCCTATTGTGGCTAAAAGTGTCTGGTGTCTCCTCACTTCTCCAGCTTTTTACCCCAGCCTAACCTCTCTTATCCAAGTAACAACTATGACGTCTTCAAGATGGCTTGAGAAAAAAGTAAAAAACTTTTTCTGGGAAGTGGGCCTGGGAACTGTGAATGTAAAATGGTAGTAGGCAGAGCAATGGCAGATAAGATTTATACTTCTACTTGTACTTTTCCACAAAATTTGAATTTTCCTCCCATTTTATGATTTTTAAATCTAGCTTTGAAAAATCTGAATACTTCACCTCCTCCAAGATGTTTTTGAAGGCCCTACTCTATAATAAAACCATAATTTTAAGTATAGTGTTTTCAGTGAGTTCTGTGAGTCTAACTAATTACTGAGCCAAAGGGAGTCGTGAAACTTCCAAATTTATATCTGGTTGGTCAGAGATGAGGGAGGCTCCCAAGACTTGCAACTGGTGTCTGAAGTGAGGGCAGTCTTGTTGAGGACTTTGCCCTTCATCGTTTGGATCTGTCACTACCTCCAGGTAGTTAGTGTTAGAAATGAAGTGTGTTGCAGGACACCCAGTTGCTAGTAGTTCACCAAGGTAGTCCTCTCTACTTCCAGAAGTCAAATTTCATATTAGCAGGAAAGCCTGCTGTGATCAATTAACGAAGTCTGCCATGAGAGCAGGGTTATGCAGGAATACCATGTATGTCATATAACTGCCATCCTTGTAATAGGTCATCAATGAAGTCTTTGTGTCTCAAATTAACAAACTCATCTAAGGATAAGAAGTTTATACATACCTGGTAGGCAACTTTTCGAAGTCAACATCTAAGAACTGTTCATAGCTAGAAACAAAACTGTCCAACCAGAGCTTCAGGTAATCTGGATCTTTCTGAAATAAGAAAACCAATATTAAGTATACCTATCATAAAAAAACAAAAAACATGCTTTCATTCCTATAAGCAGATATGAAGCAATAATATGAAATCTCTTAAGTGATATTCATGAAAACATATGTGCTATTTTAAAATGTCTATTAAGTATAGGGACACCTGGGTGGCTCAGTAGGTTAAGTGTCTGCCTTTGGCTCAGGTCATGATCTCAGTGTCCTGGGATGTAGCCCCGCATCAGGCTCCCTGCCCAGCAGGGAGTCGGCTTCTACCTCTCCCTCAGTCCCTCCCCACCTCCCCACTCAAGCTCTCTCACTTGCTCTGAAATAAATAAAATATTTAAAAAATAATAATAAAATGTCTATTAAGTATAGTGAACCCTCAAGTGGCTTCCCACATCACTCACACAAAGAGCTACAGTCTTAACAATGTCCTATAAGAGTCTAAACAATTTGCCCTCCCCTATCTCTCTGACCTTAGCCTCTACTACCCTGGCATCCTGGCTGTTACTGGGACATGCCAGACGTACTCCCACCTTTCCCACCTTAATTCCTTTCAATAGCTGTTTTCTCTACCCAGAAGACTCTATAGATGAATGGCTAACTCCCTCATCCTCTTCAAGTCATTCTTTAAACAACATTCTCAAAAAAGCCTACTTTTACCACCCTTTCTTAAAACTGCTGATCTTCTTACTAACCTTTACCTGACCCTATTCTGTCTTCCCACCCGTGGTGCTTTCTCACCATCTATCATACCATCTCATTTACTTAGTTATTAATTTATTGTCTGTCTTTTCCCCTAGAATATAGACTTCACAAGTTTAAGGCCTTTCTAAGGGCTTACCACAAGTGACCTCTTTTTGTTTACTAATGGATACCAAGTGCCTAAACAGTGCTTGACACTGAGCAGGTGCTCAATAAATATTTGTTTAATGAATTAGTGAAAAATACAAGATGCATAAATAAAATAAAATCAGATATAGATCATTAACCTAAACATAAAAGCTAAAATTAAACACTTCTAGAAGAAACTATAGGAGATATAATATACCTTTATAGGAGACATACCTTTGCAACCTTGGGGTAGACAAAAATTTCTTGGGAGCACACAAAAATCAAAAGCCAAAAAAAATAATAGTAAGTCTTAATCAAAATTAAAAACATCGGGGCGCCTGGGTGGCTCAGTTGTTAAGCATCTACCTTCGGCTCAGGTCATGATTCCAGGGTCTTAGGATCAAGCCCCGCATCAGGCTCCCTGCTCCGCGGGAAGCCTGCTTCTCCCTCTCCCACTCCCCCTGCTTGTGTTCCTGCTCTCGCTATCTGTCTCTCTGTCAAATAAATAAATAAAATCTTAAAAAAAAAAAAATCTACCCAGCAAAAGACACCAAGAAGAAAATGAAAAGGCACGCCATATACCAGCTGAAAATATTCTTAATACATATATTTGACAAAGAACTTACACGAAGAACATATAAAGCACTCCTAAAAATCAATACCAAAAGGACAACAACTCAATTTAAAAATGGGCAAAGGGCAAACACCTCACAAAAGGGGATACAGGAATGACCAGTGTGTGAAAGCATGCTCAACATCATTAGCTATCCAGAGAAAAGCAAATAAAAATCAAATGGAACACCCATTACACACTCACGAGAATGGCCAAAACTAAAAACCTTGACCATTCCAAGTGTTGGAGAAGATGTGGAGCAACTAGAACTCACACTTCTGGTGGGAGTATAAAATGGTATAATCATTTAGAAAATGGTTTGGTAGTTTCTTTTAATGTTAAACATAGACACAGAACATGGCCCTTCCGTGAAAGAGGAAAAAACACAGAACTACAAAAATATACAAAGATGTTCATAGAAGATTTATTTTTAATAGGCAAAAGCTGGAAACAACACAAAATTCCATCAACCTGTTCACTGACAAAGAAATTGTGGTATACTCATACAGTGGAATACTATTCAGGAATAACACTGAATGAACTGTTGATACAACGACAGGCAGAAATTCTAAAAACGTAACTGAGCAAGAAATGCCAGACATTAAAGTGTATACACTGTATGATTTCATTTATACAAAGTTCTAGAGCAGGCTATGATGACAGAAATTAGATTACTGGTTGTTTTTCAGAGGACTGACTACAAAGGGACACAAAAGAAACTTTCCTAGGTGATAAAAATTTTCTATTTTATTATACAGTAGTTACACAAATGTTTGCCTGTATCAAAACATGAAATTTGACACTTAAAATGTGTGCATTTTATGGTCTGTAAGTCATATCTCAAAGTTTATTTGAAATGATTCCTCAGAAATGTCTTTTTAAATATAAACTGCATCATTAAAAATGATGCTCAAATTTATTTCCTCCCTCTCCTTAACCGTTCTTTACTGAAGTCAATTTCAACAATACTCAGAAGTTTTACTTAGTCATTAAATATTACTGGTTAGGCACTGCACTTGGATAAAGGGAACTCAAGTAATTTATTTCCCTAAAATAAAAGCATTACACTACAAATCAGAATCGCTAAAAGAATGTTCCCAGAATGTACAGAGACTGCTGACCTTTTGTGTATTTGTTTTTTTCTATTAATATACTGTTCCAAAATCAGATTGTAAATTGCCACTATCTACATCATCACTGAGAAATAAGATGGAAATATTTCAGAAAAAGATTTCTCACGTGAGAAATTTTCTCAAGGATTCCATTACTTGCTATTTTCATTTCCAACTAGCACATTATTCATGTATTCATTTACTCATTTATCCACTCAGAATAGGAATCCAGAAATACAAGTAGCTGGAGTTTTCCTTATCATTTTTGCTTTTAATAAAGCCACAAAACAGTCTCATAACACCATAAAGAATTAATGCATTTCTCCTCATAGTATATTTAGGAACTCTACAGTATCTGGTTCAAAGTCTAAAAGTCAGGGTTACCAAGTGGTTGGCAGGTACAAGGTTCTCCTAGGAAGCTGACCAACTATAAGGAAAGAAATGGTACTTAAATCTGGAAATGTTTCATGTAGTAAGAAGTAAAGTAGTTGCAGTTTTTTGAGCATATGCCATGTGCTAAGTACTACAGCAAGCATTTTTAAATAATATGTATCATTCCATTTACTCCTTACATCTATCCAGAGGTTTCAATTCCCCATTTTGTAGGTTAGAAAAGGGATGTTCTAGAATATATAACTTGTCCAGTCACACAGTTAGTTATTGATAGTGCTGGGATTAAAATGCAAGATATATGAATCCAACTGTGGTCCTTCTACTACCCTATACTGTCTTTGAACTATAAGCACAGCTCTAGTGAGCAAACAGATGAAAAAGAATTATCAGGGTCAGTAAACTCAGGGCCGTACACAATTTAATACACAAAACAACCACATTCTACACAGCCTGACAAAATTCTTAGAGAATCTACACTTTACTGCCAAAAACAATAAAAAGAAAGATCTCCATGTACCCAGAACCCATATTAATTAAATCTCAAGTTTAGTCACTTTCATGGTTAAGAGTTTGGTATACTGAAACACTACAGTATGATCTATTTTTCCATTTGTACACTATTTATTAACATAACACATAAATGTATTACATACTGCAGGAGCACTGGGGCCAAATTATGTGGACTCTAATACTTGCTTTGCCACTTTCTTGAACAAGTCATCCTATGTTTGCTATCAGTCTTTTCCTCTATAAAAACGAATATAATGATAGTACCTTTCTTACAGGGCCGTTATAAAAATTAAATAATCTAATATAGGTCAAGGGCTTAGAATAATTCCTAGCACAGAGGATATGCTCAAGAATTAATTTTATTTTTATAACCTACTATGTGCCAAAATTAGGAAACTCCCATAAAACAGGAATAATCTATGCAACAAACATATTTAAATATTTCATAATCCCCCTTGACATATGATTTTAATTGTATTCTTTTTTTTTTTTTAAAGATCTTATTTATTTATTTGAGAGAGAGAGCACATGAGAGGGGGGAGGGTCAGAGGGAGAAGCAGACTCCCCGCTGAGCAGGGAGCCCGATGCAGGACTCCATCCAGGGACTCCAGGATCATGACCTGAGCCGAAGGCAGTCGCTTAACTAACTGAGCCACCCAGGCGCCCTTATTCTCTTCTTTTTAAATCTCTTTGCATTTACTATCTGTGTAACTTTGGCCATGTTACTTGATTTCTCCAATTTGTTCTTCATCTATATTATTTCCTACCTCATAGGGTGTTGAGAGCACAAAATGAGATAACATACGTAAGACATTCAACAATGCCTGTCACTTAGCAATTACTCAAAACACGTTGGTTACCATTAAGATATAGACTCTGCCATCAAGTTGGTCATGATTCAATGTAATAAAATAAGCACTTATGAAATAATTACAAAATCAAATATTCATCCAATCATGTGCCATTGTTTAAAATAGTCGTTCATTTGAACTGTTATATAGTTCTCTACTGGTCTTTATAGCTTCAATTTATCCTCCCTATATACAGCTACTAATGGAATTTGTTAAATTTTAATCTAATCATTTCTTCCCTCCTGTTCAAATACCCTCAATGGCCCCCATTACCACAGGATGAAGTTTAAACACTGCCCAATACAGTGACCACTAGCCAAATGTGAATATTTAAATTACATTAATGCACAGAAGGCTTTTACCTTCTCTTAACACCCACTCCCCTGGTGGGAGGCATTAGTGGGTAATGGAATTAAGAGATCCATATAATTTCACCTAGTTCTTAAGGGGTGGGGTTACAGGTAAGAATAGGTGAACACCTTACTTCCTCCATGCAATATTTAGGATGTAACAGTCCTTCAAGTTTTAAAACTATAAACTTTTAAATACATATACATATTTCAACCAATATTGGGCAGTTCCCAACTTACATATGAGTTGCATTTATAAAAGTTCATTTAAGTCAGTTATATTCATAATATAGTTTCTAATTCCTACCAAAAGAAGATAAATCTCCCCTCAGTAGAAACA